ATAACACACACACACACACACATATATATATATATATATATATATATATATATGTTATCATTTACTCTCATTTCACTCCAAACCTGTTCGTCTTTGTTTTTGAGTGATACACTAAAGGAGAAATGCTAAATAATGTGCTGGTTGCCCTTTTCCATGCAATTAGCAGTCATAGTAGAAGAACGTCCTGAATTGAAGTCATTATTCACTCATGTTTATCCTCTCCAGTGAGTTGTTAAATGCTTTGACTCAAGAACTCAAAAACCAGATCAGTCTGGTTTAGAATGGTTTTGTGAACTGTATCTTACCTCGGTCACAAACAGACCAATACAAGTTCCCATTTGTTTATCACATAAAGCTATTATATGGCTTTGAATATAATCACATTATAATGCATTTATTGCATATGTTTTGTAATTTTGGTATCTGAGAGCGAGTGTCCCCATTCACATTCCTTAAATAGAAAAAGTGACCAGGACATTTTTTTTTTTTAAATTCATCTTTTATGTTCCACAGACGAAATTAAGAATTTTCAAATTTGGCGAACTATCTCTCTAACTGTCACATCACCCCAATCTCTAATCCACAGGCTTCTAAACCTCGTCGTCTGTGCCTGGTAAATACTTGAAAATACCCCCTGCATCTCCAAAACACATCGGCACACTCAAACACACCTCTCTCCAGCCCTCATCCACGACAGCACTAATGAACACTCCACATGGCGGCTAAAGCCTGTAAACAGGGTGTTGACCTGCAGAAAGGGGCTTGGTTGAGAGAGCAGCCTCCCCAGAACATTGGCACCAAGGCCAGTGGCTCATCATCAATGCGGCATGTCTGTCAGGTTAAGCACCACTGCAGCTCAGATACTTTGTGATGAAGGAGGAATGTTGGCAGGTAGAACATAACCTCTCTCCAGGCTAAAAATAATGCTTGTATCCTTATAAAAATGTCCTGTGATGGTGCCATCATACAGTGATGTACTGGATGGTAATACTTTGATATATACTATTGTACAAAATGACCAAAATATTAATTTGGCACGATACCTTAATAATACTCCAACATCATGGTACTGTCATGGTATATCTCCAAAAACATGGTAATACTCTACCATAGTAGTACCATAGTACTTCTCTGTAATGCATCAAAAAGAATAAAGTGCTTTAGTGATGAAGCCCGTTGTGTTTTTGTTAGCAGAGAAAAATGAAAGTATCTCTCTAAGAGCATAGCATTATGTAGTAATTATCTTCACCGTCTATAATGTATTTTCATTTGAAAAGTTTAGCTAAAATAATGATTTGAAGAAAGAAAGAGTATTAAAACTTGTGCCAAATTCTGTTTAAAAATTTTTTCAGAAACTGTTTAAACATTTTGTTTCAAAAGGCCACAGAGAAAAAACATCAATGTTGAATCGGTCAAAGGACACACTCATGCGCGGTTAAAGTAATTTGTTTAAAAAAAAATGTTTAAAGCGTTTGTAAAACTGTCAAAGAAAAAAAAAGGAACCAACATAAAACCAAGGCAAACAAAATGAAAATACCATCAAACTAAATAAAGCAATAAAATAAAGAGGTAAACGGGGACACGATGAAAAATGATTTGTTGTAGTTTCTGTTCAACACTATGAATGTTTACCCAACTATGAGAACGAAATGGGTCCATAAGCAGGATGATCGGTATAAATTGTACTTATTTTGTCTTCTGGGAAACTTGCAAATATCTTATGTAGCTTCTGAAGGCCAGTACTAAAAAAAAAAAAACCAAAAAAAAAAAAAAAAAAAAAAAAAAAAAAAGTGTTTAAAAAAAAAAAAAAAAAAAAAAGGACGGCTATAGTAATTTGTTTGAATAAAACCTTGCTGACAAAGAAAATAATTACTGTAAAGCAACGCAAAAAAATAAAACCAACATAAAACCAATGCAAACAAAAAAACAGCACAACACAAAGTAATAAAATAAAATAAAATAAAATAAAATAAAATCTGTTTTTAATAAAACCCACATCCATGTGTAGATAAAGCAATTTGCTTCAATGACATGTAACTGTTTAATATAAGGCAAACGAATCAAAACAAAACAAAAATTTAAAACCAATGCAAACAAAGCATCACAACACAAAACAAAACAAAAAAAATATGGCTGTTTTTTTAAACTAGTCATGATAAAACCACTTTGAACCAAAGTCTATTAAGCATAAATTCTAATTATACCAACATTTTGTGTTAACGACGCAGTCTCTTACCAAGATCTTTGATCCTAGGCAGCACGTTGTGTGTAAAGTTGCTGTAGGATGCCACTTTGCCCTCCGGAGAAGCAATGCCAACGTGGGACTCGTATATCCGTAAGCTCCTGGGCTTCTGTGGACGAGGGTGCTTGTGCTGGCACAGAAACAGCAGGGAAATATCTCTGGAATAATTCTTCATCCAAATTTAACATCACAGTACATGCCAATACAACTGAAGATAAGATGGAGCCGCTGAACAGAGCTGACAGTAGCGAATTTCATGACTGGAGGACATTAACGGGCATATATAATTCATAGTCTGAGGAGATTATGTTCACAGGCTTGACATGACATTAAAGCAAAATTACTCAAAGTAGAAAGCAATGAAATAGCTCATGTTGTATTCATAAAGACGTTTTCTTCATCCTCCCGTTTTCAGAAACAGTTTGCTTTGCTTGGAAACTTTAATTAATAGGGAATATACAGTACACCCACATGCCCTAACTAGAGTACTGTTATATGAAAGCGAATTTCTGCCATGGAATAAAAAATATATTTAAAGAAAGGTTATTGCGTATTTTTATCTCACAATTATCTCACTCTTTGGGATATGGAAATATGTAAGTTTACAATTCAGAAATGCAAGATGTAAACTCAGAATACCAAGAAAAAAAAAAGTCAGAATAGCAAGATGTACAGTAAACTCAAAATTCAGAGAAAAATGCCAGAATTGCAAGATGTAAAAATCTTAGAATTTTGCTTAAAAAAAAAAAAAGTTAGAATTCCAGAATGTAAACTCAGAATTACAAGAAAAAAGTCAGAATTGCCAGACATAAACTTATAATTACAAGAAAAATGCAGAATTGCAAGATGTAAACTCAGAATTACAAGACAAAATGCAGAATTGCAAGATGTAAACTCAGAATTACAAAAAAAATTCAGAATTGCAAGATGTAAACTCAGAATTACAAGAAAAATTCAGATTTGCAAGATGTAAACTCAGAATTACAAGAACAATTCAGAATTGTGAGATGTAATCTCAGAATTACAAGAAAATTCAGAATTGCAAGATGTAAACTCAGAATTACAAGAAAATTTCAGAATTGCAAGATGTAAACTCAGAATTACAAGAAAAATGCAGAATTGCAAGATGTAAACTCAGAATTACAAGAAAAATTCAAAATTGCAAGATGTAAACTCAGAATTACAAAAAAAATTCAGAATTGCAAGATGTAAACTCAGAATTACAAAAAAAAAAAAAATTCTGAATTGCGAGAGGTAAACTCAATACCAAGAAAAAAGTCAGAATTGTGAGACGTAAACTCAAAATTCAGAGAAGAATGCCAAAATGTAAACTTAGAATTCTGCTTAAAAAAAATTTATTGTGGGATGTAAACTTAGAATTCTAAGAAAAAGGCCAGAATTGCAAGATGTAAACTTAGAATTCTGCTAAAAAAAAAAAGTAGAATTGCAGGATGTAAACTCAGAATTCTGATTAAAGTAAAGTTAGAATTGCAAGACATAAACTCAGAATTCTGATTTTATGAATTCTGAAGTTATAACTTTGGGACATAAATTCGCAATTCTTAGAAAAAAGTCAGAATTGTGAGATAAAAAGTCACAATAACCTTTTTTACATTTTTATAAAGTGGCAGAAATAAACTTCCATACTATTCTCACTTACATGGTCATCTAAATTAAGAATTCATTACATGTACAAACACAAGTGTTAAAATGTTGAGGACCCATTATAGTTCACTACAAAATAAAAGGTTGTGGCTGGGGGGAAATAATCACTTACAACGTAAGGTTGAGGAGGGTCCCAATGTACCCAATCATAGATGACGGACTTCTCATGTCTGGTCACATACTTTGCCCAAGGTGAGATTCGGTACAGCCGCTCACCTGCTCTGGTGTGAACAACCACCTGGGAAGAGAGACAAATGAGGGATGTAACGGCAAGGGAGCAGAGAGAAGGTCGGGACGTGGGCACAAGCAAAGGGCGCTGGGTAATGCAGCTAAGAGAAAATGTGTTTACAGCTGCCAGAGAGCAGGGATAAAGGGCCAATCTCATGCAGAAAGGTCACAAGGTACAAGCAAAGAGGACGTTTGAGTTCAGTCTGACCACTGGAGGTGAAAGAGGTTGTATACTGTAAAAAAAAATATGACTTTTGAAATTATTACACTGGGTTTCCAGCAAAAAATATTTGTGGCAACAAGCAGCTTCTGAAGGGCATATGAGTATTTTTAAAGAGAGAACTGCATGGTTAATAATGTGATAACCAATTTACAATCACCGAGTGTGGCAATAAATGTGCAATGATTCTGGGAAACATTTGTGTTTACTTATATTTTTAGCTTGGTACTTGCTTTACAAGCATATACATACAAACTTAAAAGAGCAACATGAATAATAGATCAAACGCTTTCTGTTTTTACCAATATGCTCTAGATTACAACTGTAGACAGAGAGGCCAGGAAAGATTACGTGGGAACTTTATGTCACCATTTTGTCACTCTCAATTTTCTCGCAGAATTGAGAATCTGCAAACTCAGGATTCTGATGTGTAAACAGTCAGAATTATTTTGAGATATAAACTTAGAATTATGAGGGAAAATAAAAAAATTACAACTGTGAGATGTGAGAATGTAAATTGCACAATTGCGAGATAACTTACGATTCTAAAAAAAAAAAAAATCTAAATTGTGAGATGTAAACTTTGATGTTTTGTGGGAAAAATTTATGTTTTAATGTATGGAAATAAGCAGCCTGGACATTCTGCTAAATGACTATTTCTGTTCCACCAAAAAAAAAAAAAACTGATGCGAGTTTGGAATGACATGCGAGTGAGTAGATAATGACAGAATTTTGATTTGTAACCACGTTAGGAAAAGTTTATTATGCCACACTGTGTTTTCCTCAAGGAGAAGAAGATTTCTAGTGCTGTCTAAAATAAAGCTATTACCCAGCACAAAAGCATTGATCAGAAACGGAAAGGGTCGTTTAATCCTTTGTGTACTATCGGCATTGTTATTTATAGCTGAAGCAAAACTATTCACTCGCAGATATTAAAAACTCATCATGTGTCTCAGATAAGACTACAGAAGCCTTTCTAAAGGGCATGCGAAGGCAGAGTGTGAATTTAATGTCAGAGTGTGTTTTTTTGTATTGATCTGTAGAGGTGTTGATGTGCAACAGAGGGGGCGGCACATGATCTACAGACACCAGAACTGAAAAGGGGTTGTAAATTCCAATTAATATAATATAATATAATATAATATAATATAATATAATATAATATAATGATTTATTAAAAATATTATTAAAGTATCATAATACTAAAGACTGAAGTAATGGCTGCTGATAATTCAGCTTTGCATCAAAGTAATAAATAACATTTTGCATTATGTATAAATATATATATTACAATATATTAAAACAGAAAACATTTATTTTAAACTGTAATAATGTTACACAGTACTATTATTTTTATTGTATTTTAGATCAAATAAATGCAGCCTTGATGAGCATAAGAGTCTTCTTTCTAATTGTGATTAATGGCATCCAAAATACAAGTTTTTGTTTACATAGTATATGAGTGTGTACTGTGTATATACTATATATATACAGTGGGTACGGAAAGTATTCAGACCCCCTTAAATTTTTCACTCTTTGTTATATTGCAGCCATTTGCTAAAATCATTTAAGTTAATTTTTTTTCCTCATTAATGTACACACAGTATATATATATATATATATATATATATATGAATATGAATATAAATATATACATGTAAATATTTTCAAAATATATGCTGTATATGTGTGTGTATTTATAGACACATAATAAATATACACAGTACACACACATATATTATACACAGTACACACACATATATTATGCAAACATTTATTTTGGATGCCATGAATTGCGATTAATTGTTTGACAGCACTAACAAAAACATTAACATACATATGGATAGGAAAAATTCAAAAGATAAATCTTTGTACCTAAAGGCTCCATACTGGTTCCTTAAAGGTACGCATCAGTACCTAAAGTGACTTTTTGAGTAGGTACTGCCCCAGTGACAGCTTTTGTACCTTTTTTCACTGTAGGTGAACATGGTTTATGAGGGCACGTCTTCCTGTGTCCTTGTAAACCAAATGTCTTTAAAAACATACTAAATGGTATGATTATTCATATAACCTAAATTTTGCTCTAACATGACAACCACACTTGAAGTAAACTAGCTCAAGGCACTCGGTTTCCAGCCCGCTTTCCAAACAAGAGTGAGAAAAGAGCATTGTGTGCTGGACTACAGTCTAACTCACTCAGAGTCGCTCCTCTCTTCTCTTCCTCCCCGCTGCCGCGCACAGTCACACGACTGTCAGTACAGGAGAGCAGATCGATAACGGAGTGTCTCTCACCGTGTGAATGCACCCGCGGGAGCTCTCCATCCTGAGTCTCCCTATCTCTCTCTTTCCTGGGCCAAAAAGCAAATGGATCATTTGATGGTCCTCTCCATAAGCTGCCAGCGAGAGGTAATGACAGAGCCATTGGCACCTGCCGGTGACCTACAGAGCAGTGTCCCAGTGGGGCTCAATCATTAGCGGCTTCTCACCCGAGGACATGCCGGAGCGCCAAACCACCACACCACAGGTTTGCCAGTTTATATAATTACCCAGAAAAGAGTGCGAGAATAGACAGATGCTGAACCAGACCGACTGATGGAGAGAAAATAGCAGAAAATAGCAGACACACGGTGTCAATGAATGCAGGGTGAGATGGAGGATAAATGGATGATGACAAAGCTCTTACTGAGTTCATTTAATGTCTGTCACTTTGCTGTTCTGTCAAATTAGGGTCCAGTCGCAGGTTTATTGAAAACATTTACTGGCAATGAATATTTCTGACCTCACCATGAAATGTTTTGCATTATTTTCATTAAAGAATATATTTCTGTTCCAATCATAATGACAATTTGTAACATTTCTTCACTACTATTCAAAAGTTTGGGGTCAGTAAGATTTATTTTTTATTTATTTTTTTAAAGAAATTAATTATTTTATTGAGCAAGGATGCACGTTAAAGTGACATTAAAGACATTTATATCGCTACAAAATATTTATTTCTTTTCATTAAATAATCCTGGGAAAAAAATAATCACGGTTTCAAAAATATTAAGCAGCACAACTGTAATTAACATAGATAATAGTAAGAAATGTTTCGATTTGTAGAGGAACAAATAATAAATAAAATAAAATAAAATAAAATAAAATAAAATAAAATTTCAAATTGGGTGATAGAAAAGACATATTATGGTTATATAGAAGAAGGGGAAAAACTAAACTAAACTTAACTTAGAAACTTCAAATGGAAAATGGAAATGTTCCTCTGATGAATCAATCATCAACACAAACAAACATCAAGACTTTTGTACTAATATTGTCATATTTGTCGATTAATGCAAAAAATATCCCATACTTGTGTCACTACATTGAGTTTTAAATAAACTTCTGATGATATTTTATTTTATACCCATTTAATGACTGGCTAATGTCAGTTTGTCAAATTATATATTATAGGTATTATCTCTGTCTTACATTACCACAAATGCCTTGAATTTATTCAACAGGTGCATAAAACACCCTTTGTAGCAACACAAGGTCTCTCCATCATGATATGAGCCTGCGGTGTGAAGCAGAAAGAATAGGACAGTCCACTTCCTGCATAATTAAAGTCTGGCCGGACCACTTTTCACCGGGAACATAATCCAGTTGACACTCAACTCATCCGAGTCCAGTCTGAGGGCCTGAAATGGGACAGGGCCAGGGTCTGCATCTGGTTCTTATCGTCCAGAGCCTGACCCAAGAAGACAACAGGAACAAAGCAACCAGAAAAGCAGCCTGTGCCCAGTGAGTGGCATCTACCTGCCATCAATCAAGCCTCTGCCAGCGTGTCACACAACATAATGGACAGCAGGAGCGCAAGAGGCTGGACTAAACACAGAGATACACAACCGGCTTTGTAAGCAGATAGATCAGAAATGAATCTCAGTTTAGTGATGCTATTTTTTGGTTCATTAATTTATTCAAAAATACATTAAAAATACATGCAATGCCTTTTATACACATCTTCTACGATGAGCATATTTTTAAATTTCAGTTTCAGATTAATTTGCAGAGAAATTATTTAATTATTATTCATACAAAATTATTTAAAAGAAGACTCTTAAAATGTCAAATAATTTGACAATTTTATAAGGAAAAATTAGTTTAGGCCACAAAATGTCATGTGGTGCAACTTAATGATATTTTTAAATTAAACATTTAAATTAAACATTTTAGTTTTAGTAAACATTTCCACAAAAAAATTAAAAATATATAATAATAATAATAATTATATATATATA